CGATAGTGTATTTAAATAGAGGTACTGCAGGTAAGTAGTTTTCAGTTTTAAAAGGCATAGTTTCACAAGACAACACTTGCCACCATCATTCAAACCCAGTGGTGAAAAAGAGCACAATTTTGTTTACATTATGTTTACATTATGTTTATATTATATATAATATGTTTACATTATAATATAATGTTCATGTGAAAGCCGGGGGCTTATGGGACTCCGGGATCCCGCCATGAGGTTCATGTGGCAAAACATGCAACAAAAATGTCACGTAGTTATAACTGCACGACCCGAGCTAAACATGCTCAAGATGCTTGCATTGTCTCTGTACGGTTCGCCTTTCGACATTGTTCTCTGGTCCTACACTGGTGAGACAAGGCCATAGCTAAGGCTGCCGTCTCTGGCGTAGGCCAGTTTCAAACAATGCATTCAGAATTATCAGTGCGTGTTTGTTTGCATGTTTTGCCACAAGCATGTGTGGTTAATGCAGACTTGACGCCTTGCGAAAAGGTATCTTTCGTTATTTTAACATCTTAACGCATCTGTTTTATTGGGTAAACGCCTATTCGTATTTTTCACACTTTGATGCTGGCAAAAAAGGTCCCATTGATACAGCTGTGTATGTGCCGTAGACTCACAGAGACTCAGACTCAGAGACTCGTCCAGTTAATACATTAGTCCCTTCCACTGAAAATGTAAATCGTTAATGAAAGGAGCAACACTTTTAAGTCAAATCTAAACAAGAGTGTGTGTTGAACCAATGGTACAAGCAAGCTGGTGCTACTCCCTAACAGCATTTGCTCCAAAAGTCTGTTAAAGTCTTTGTCAAGCAAGTGTGACTCTACAGATGACACATTGAATGTCGAAATCAGTCCAGAGCTGTCCTTGTGTTGAACCAATTGCAGCCCAAAACGCCTTTTCAGAAGGCCGTGTGGCCGATAGGATGTCTAAAGAAATACTTTGGGTTTTTTTTGCGTGGCAAAGTTTTGAGAAGGAAGTTGTTTGCCTACTGCATTCATGATAAACCAAAGGACAGGAAGGGTTTGGACATTCCCAAAGTTAAGTGTCACAATAAACGCATAAATGTCAAATGTGTGGTGATTTGAGAAACATCCCCAAGAACCAGCCTCCCACGGAGAGGTTGTTGGTGCATCACACAAGTATTGGACAATGGTGCGAGTGAGGCAAGACGGTCGTACATGGTTAATGTGGTGTGTCTGTGTGAGTTATTGGTGATCGGGCAAAAAACCATCAACTCATTAGACTTGGGAACCCAGAGACCACGGATCTCCTGCGTGCGAGTCCGTGTGTCTCGGTGCGAGTCCGTGAGTCTCGGTGCGAGTCCGTGGGTCTCGGTGCGAGTCCGCGAGTCTCGGTGCGAGTCCGCGAGTCTCGGTGCGAGTCCGCGGGTCTCGGTGCGAGTCCGCGGGTCTCGGTGCGAGTCCGCGGGTCTCGGTGCGAGTCCGTGGGTCTCGGTGTGAGTCCGTGAGTCTCGGTGCGAGTCCGTGGGTCTCGGTGCGAGTCCGTGAGTCTCGGTGCGAGTCCGTGGGTCTCGGTGCGAGTCCGTGGGTCTCGGTGCGAGTCCGTGAGTCTCGGTGCGAGTCCGTGGGTCTCGGTGCGAGTCCGTGGGTCTCGGTGCGAGTCCGTGAGTCTCGGTGCGGGTCCGTGGGTCTCGGTGCGAGTCACAGGAGGTCAGTATCACGCGCGGCCGCCGTTTATCTCCCAAGCGCGGATGTTTAAACACTTAAGGCTGAGTCGACCTAAGGGAGACCCAAGACCGTTTCCGATATTCGCCAATGTTGGTCGTGAGCTGCAAACGAACTTGTGTCCCGAACTACTGCGCCACCCACCCTCCACGTACGCCCAGTTACTCCACATTCCCGTGCCGGTACAGTACGTCCGCAGTAACTCACAGCGCTGCACAATCAGAGTGACCGGGCAGGCTCCCTGTGTCTCTCTCTCTCACTGTGTGTGTCTCTGTGTGTGTCTCTCTCCCTGTGTGTCTCTCTCCCTGTGTGTCTCTCTCCCTGTGTGTCTCTCTCCCTGTGTGTCTCTCTCCCTGTGTGTCTCTCTCCCTGTGTGTCTCTCTCCCTGTGTGTCTCTCTCCCTGTGTGTCTCTCTCCCTGTGTGTCTCTCTCCCTGTGTGTCTCTCTCCCTGTGTGTCTCTCTCCCTGTGTGTCTCTCTCCCTGTGTGTCTCTCTCCCTGTGTGTCTCTCTCCCTGTGTGTCTCTCTCCCTGTGTGTCTCTCTCCCTGTGTGTCTCTCTCCCTGTGTGTCTCTCTCCCTGTGTGTCTCTCTCCCTGTGTGTCTCTCTCCCTGTGTGTCTCTCTCCCTGTGTCTCTCTCTCCCTGTGTGTCTCTCTCCCTGTGTGTCTCTCTCCCTGTGTGTCTCTCTCCCTGTGTGTCTCTCTCCCTGTGTGTCTCTCTCCCTGTGTGTCTCTCTCCCTGTGTGTCTCTCTCCCTGTGTGTCTCACTCTCCCTGTGTGTCTCACTCTCCCTGTGTGTCTCTCTCTCCCTGTGTGTGTCTCTCTCTCCCTGTGTGTCTCTCTCTCCCTGTGTGTCTCTTTCTCCCTGTGTGTGTCTCTCTCCCTGTGTGTCTCTCTCTCTCTCTCCCTGTGTGTCTCTCTCTCTCTCTCCCTGTGTGTCTCTCTCTCTCTCTCCCTGTGTGTGTCTCTCTCTCCCTGTGTGTCTCTCTCTCTCCCTGTGTGTCTCTCTCTCTCCCTGTGTGTCTCTCTCTCTCCCTGTGTGTGTCTCTCTCTCCCCCTGTGTGTCTCTCTCTCTCCCTGTGTGTCTCTCTCTCTCCCTGTGTGTCTCTCTCTCTCCCTGTGTGTCTCTCTCTCTCGCTGTGTGTGTCTCTCTCTCCCTGTGTGTGTCTCTCTCTCCCTGTGTGTGTCTCTCTCTCCCTGTGTGTCTCTCTCTCTCTCCCTGTGTGTCTCTCTCTCTCCCTGTGTGTCTCTCTCTCTCCCTGTATGTCTCTCTCTCTCTCTCTCCCTGTGTGTCTCTCTCTCCCTGTGTGTGTCTCTCTCTCTGTGTGTCTCTCTCTCTCCCTGTGTGTGTCTCTTTCTCCCTGTGTGTGTCTCTCTCTGTGTGTCTCTCTTTCTCCCTGTGTGTGTCTCTCTCTCTCCCTGTGTGTGTCTCTCTCTCCCTGTGTCTCTCTCTCTCTCTCCCTGTGTGCGTCTCTCTCTCCCTGTGTGTCTCTCTCCCTGTGTGTCTCTCTCCCTGTGTGTCTCTCTCCCTGTGTGTCTCTCTCTCTCCCTGTGTGTCTCTCTCTCTCCCTGTGTGTGTCTCTCTCTCCCTGTGTGTGTCTCTCTCTCCCTGTGTGTCTCTCTCTCTCTCTCCCTGTGTGTGTCTCTCTCTCCCTGTGTCTCTCTCTCTCCCTGTGTCTCTCTCTCTCCCTGTGTCTCTCTCTCTCCCTGTGTCTCTCTCTCTCCCTGTGTCTCTCTCTCTCCCTGTGTGTCTCTCTCTCTCCCTGTGTGTCTCTCTCTCTCCCTGTGTGTCTCTCTCTCTCCCTGTGTGTCTCTCTCTCTCCCTGTGTGTCTCTCTCTCTCCCTGTGTGTGTCTCTCTCTCCCTGTGTGTCTTTCTCTCTCCCTGTGTGTCTCTCTCTCTCCCTGTGTGTCTCTCTCTCCCTGTGTGTCTCTCTCTCTCTCCCTGTGTGTCTCTCTCTCTCCCTGTGTGTCTCTCTCTCTCTCCCTGTGTGTCTCTCTCTCTCTCCCTGTGTGTGTCTCTCTCTCTCCCTGTGTCTCTCTCTCTCTCTCCCTGTGTCTCTCTCTCTCTCTCCCTGTGTCTCTCTCTCTCTCCCTGTGTCTCTCTCTCTCTCCCTGTGTGTGTCTCTCTCTCCCTGTGTGTGTCTCTCTCTCCCTGTGTGTGTCTCTCTCTCCCTGTGTGTCTCTCTCCCTGTGTCTGTGTCTCTCTCCCTGTGTCTGTGTCTCTCTCCCTGTGTCTGTGTCTCTCTCCCTGTGTCTGTGTCTCTCTCCCTGTGTCTGTGTCTCTCTCCCTGTGTCTGTGTCTCTCTCTCTCCCTGTGCGTCTCTCCCTCCCTGTGTCTCTCTCTCTCTCTCTCCCTGTGTGTGTCTCTCTCTCCCTGTGTGTCTCTCTCCCTGTGGGTCTCTCTCTCTCCCTGTGTGTCTCTCTCTCTCTCCCTGTGTGTGTCTCTCTCTCCCTGTGTGTCTCTCTCTCTCCCTGTGTGTGTCTCTCTCTCCCTGTGTGTCTCTCTCTCTCCCTGTGTGTCTCTCTCTCCCTGTGTCTCTCTCTCTCCCTGTGTGTGTCTCTCTCTCCCTGTGTGTCTCTCTCTCTCTCCCTGTGTGTCTCTCTCTCTCTCCCTGTGTGTCTCTCTCTCTCCCTGTGTGTCTCTCTCTCCCTGTGTCTCTCTCTCTCCCTGTGTGTGTCTCTCTCTCCCTGTGTGTGTCTCTCTCTCCCTGTGTGTCTCTCTCTCTCTCCCTGTGTGTCTCTCTCTCTCCCTGTGTGTCTCTCTCTCTCCCTGTATGTCTCTCTCTCTCTCTCTCCCTGTGTGTCTCTCTCTCTCTCCCTGTGTGTCTCTCTCTCTCTCCCTGTGTGTGTCTCTCTCTCTCCCTGTGTGTGTCTCTCTCTCCCTGTGTGTCTCTCTCTCTCCCTGTGTGTCTCTCTCTCCCTGTGTGTCTCTCTCCCTGTGTGTCTCTCTCCCTGTGTGTCTCTCTCTCCCTGTGTGTCTCTCTCTCCCTGTGTCTGTGTCTCTCTCCCTGTGTCTGTGTCTCTCTCCCTGTGTCTGTGTCTCTCTCCCTGTGTCTGTGTCTCTCTCTCTCCCTGTGTCTCTCTCTCCCTGTGCGTCTCTCCCTCCCTGTGTCTCTCTCTCTCTCCCTGTGTGTGTCTCTCCCTGTGTGTGTCTCTCTCTCCCTGTGTCTGTGTCTCTCTCCCTGTGTCTGTGTCTCTCTCCCTGTGTCTGTGTCTCTCTCTCTCCCTGTGTCTCTCTCTCTCCCTGTGCGTCTCTCCCTCCCTGTGTCTCTCTCTCTCCCTGTGTGTCTCTCTCCCTCACCTCACTCCCATGAGGTGTCTGTCGAGCGCCGGGAAGAAGCACCCGGGGGCTTCGCTCGCCACGGCAGAGCCGAGGAAGAGGGGAAAGAACAGAGCGAGGAGGCCGAAAAACGACCAGCGGCAAAGAGTCGCCATTGTGTTCGATTCGTGCGGCTCATGGAGGGCGCGGCCTTATATAGTAAGCGGCGGGGGGCTACCAGCCTCAGCCTACTGCGCATACCACTTGCCCGAGCCTCGCTCCACCCCGTGCCGTGGTCTACCAGTCTCACTCCACCACTCACCCATCCCCTGGTCTACCAGTCTCACTCCACCACTCACCCATCCCCTGGTCTACCAGTCTCACTCCACCACTCACCCGTGCCCTGGTCTACCAGTCTCACTCCACCACTCACCCGTGCCGTGGTCTACCAGTCTCACTCCACCACTCACCCATCCCCTGGTCTACCAGTCTCACTCCACCACTCACCCATGCCCTGGTCTACCAGTCTCACTCCACTCACCCATCCCCTGGTCTACCAGTCTCACTCCACCACTCACATATGCCATGGTCTACCAGTCTCACTCCACCACTCACCCATCCCCTGGTCTGCCAGTCTCACTCCACCACTCACCCGTGCCCTGGTCTACCAGTCTCACTCCACCACTCACCCATGCCCTGGTCTACCAGTCTCACTCCACCACTCACCCGTGCCGTGGTCTACCAGTCTCACTCCACCACTCACCCGTGCCGTGGTCTACCAGTCTCACTCCACCACTCACCCATGCCCTGGTCTACCAGTCTCACTCCACCACTCACCCATGCCCTGGTCTACCAGTCTCACTCCACCACTCACCCGTGCCCTGGTCAACCAGTCTCACTCCACCACTCACCCATGCCCTGGTCTACCAGTCTCACTCCACCACTCACCCGTGCCCTGGTCTACCAGTCTCACTCCACTCACCCATGCCCTGGTCTACCAGTCTCACTCCACTCACCCATCCCCTGGTCTACCAGTCTCACTCCACCACTCACATATGCCATGGTCTACCAGTCTCACTCCACCACTCACCCATGCCCTGGTCTACCAGTCTCACTCCACCACTCACCCATCCCCTGGTCTGCCAGTCTCACTCCACCACTCACCCGTGCCCTGGTCTACCAGTCTCACTCCACCACTCACCCGTGCCCTGGTCTACCAGTCTCACTCCACCACTCACCCGTGCCGTGGTCAACCAGTCTCACTCCACCACTCACCCGTGCCCTGGTCTACCAGTCTCACTCCACCACTCACCCGTGCCCTGGTCTACCAGTCTCACTCCACCACTCACCCATGCCCTGGTCTACCAGTCTCACTCCACCACTCACCCGTGCCCTGGTCTACCAGTCTCACTCCACCACTCACTCGTGCCCTGGTCGACCAGTCTCACTCCACTCACCCATGCCCTGGTCTACCAGTCTCACTCCACCACTCACCCGTGCCCTGGTCTACCAGTCTCACTCCACCACTCACCCGTGCCCTGGTCTACCAGTCTCACTCCACCACTCACCCATGCCCTGGTCTACCAGTCTCACTCCACCACTCACCCGTGCCCTGGTCTACCAGTCTCACTCCACCACTCACTCGTGCCCTGGTCGACCAGTCTCACTCCACTCACCCATGCCCTGGTCTACCAGTCTCACTCCACCACTCACCCATACCCTGGTCTACCAGTCTCACTCCACCACTCACCCCTGCCCTGGTCTACCAGTGTCACTCCACCACTCACCCGTGCCCTGGTCTACCAGTCTCACTCCACCACTCACCCGTGCCCTGGTCTACCAGTGTCACTCCACCACTCACCCGTGCCCTGGTCTACCAGTGTCACTCCACCACTCACCCGTGCCGTGGTCTACCTGGGGCTCATTAGGAATGGACCACTCTTTTAATTATTTCCTCGTGCAGCAAGGGAGTAAAGTGTGGTTTTGTGAAAGTACTTATGTGCTGTGCAGTACATCAATGCACGTGTGTACACCAGCATGCGATAACTGAGTTGGGCCTGTGGGTGGCTGGCAGGGTGATTGATTAACCGGACTTGTACACCAGTCACGTGGTTAATGGCGACTCGGTTGAGGATTGCTGCGTCTGACACCACGTGCTGTTGCATTCTACAGGTAAAGGACACAAAGGTTGTTTTTGATCGTTCTAGACTTGTTATAGACTTGTTCTAGACTTCCAGCTTGACTTTTAATTGATAGTTTGTGATATATTCAATGGGATGATGACGTACTGTAGTTAATACTTGTAATGATCTAACCCTAATACTGTTTATTCTATAACCATGCACCCAGAGTATGACTACTTGCAATGCTATTGTGAAAGAACACATTTATAGTAGTAAGTTGTACAATGGTGACAAGTATAATATGTATACTGTACACATACTGTACAGATAATGGGTGTAAGATACCGATATAAGTGGATGGTATAGATAGACATACAGCTTAGGATTAAAGTAATATTCGAATAGTGAAGTGCAAAGGTTATTGTTACAGACAAAAATGGTTTATCAGTAGTATGATTGGGTCTAAGAGAATCTGTTATTGATTAACCGGACGTATGTGGGGGCTACCGTCCCCCACCATCAAATTGTCGGGGCCGTTGCCTCCCTACTCCCCCGCTACATTCGCCCCACTACCCCCCGGCTGTTCTGAGGTCCGGGCTACCGTCCTCCACTTCGTCGCCCCCCTGTACCCCCGACTTGGTTGCTGACCGCGTCGGCATGTTTCAATCGGTGAGGCCGCCTGCTCTACGCTTACGATGCCCTACGCTGTTCAGTGGCGTCATGCCGCGGTGAGCGCGCTCGCAAAGTAAAACCCCGTCCCGCACGTGAACAAACAGGTGCGGCGCGCCGACGCGTGATTTGTGGGGGCTACCGTCCCCCGCCATCACCGTATTGTCAGGACCATTGCTCTCTGACTCCCCCGTAACACGCGTCCCACTACCCCCCGGCTGCTCTGTGGGGTCCGGGCTACCGACCCCCAATTCCTCGCCCCCTTGCGCTCCCGACTTTGTGGCTGCCCGCGTCGGCATGTTTCATTTTATGCAGTGGTCTGTTTTTACGCTCGCGGTGTGCTTTGCCGTTCATAGGCGGCGTGCCGCTGTAAGCGCGCTCGCCAGTAAAAGCTCCGTCCCGCCCGTAAACAAACAGGCGCGGCGCGTGTTTCCCTCCCACCCACGCTCCACGTCTTCCGGTAATAACAAACACGCCCTACCCTCTGCCCAGCCCCGTACACCAATCGCACGCGGGGGGTTGGGGCCGAGGGATGGGCAGGCGGGACGTTTACCGTGCGCGCGCCGCTGATTGTGGAGGGTCGCTCAGCTCTGAGTGGACGGGCCCGTTCAAACAGTCCCGTGAATATGCGCGCGCTCGGCGCTTTAACTCGCTACTTCGCGATTAGACAATCGTGCGGGTGCGTGTCCGCAACACAGCCACACAGGTACGCGATCGCTAAGCACTATTGTGAGCAATATCACGGGTACGCGAGCACTGGGCACCACCGAAAATCGCCACGTATGCCCATACGCGCCGCACAGTACTGTACACAATTGCACGGGTGTGCGATCGCAACGCAGTCACACCGGTATGCGAGCGCTACGCGCTATTGTAAACAATCGTGCGGGTACGTAAACACCACACACTTCGTCTCGAGGTGAACAGCCGCGCATACACAAAGACACCCAGCACACTCTGTCCTCCACTTCACGCTTCCAAAAGACCACACAACACAGTTTTATCCCCCCACTAGTGAATTTTATTTACCTGAGCAACTCGTTTAAACTACGCATAAGTGTGTGCATCAGTGGCTGCCAGCCTACCCTCCCGGGGATTCTAGGCTGAACCTGCTCTGTCTATCGCTCCGCTCTCTCCTCCCGATTAACTCACTCCGGACTCACTTCTCTTACACACGCTTACTTCCCTTCCACTGCGCTGAACGTTGTAGAAGGAGGAGATGGTAGGTCGGCCTCGTCGAGAGTGGAGCCTGGCTGCGTTGGAGTTCGTCACACGGACGTCCCGAACGGCTGACCGCGAAGATTTTGAAGAAGAATTGCCCTTGCTACCTGAATCCCCCTTCCTTTATCCCACCTACAACAAAGGAATTTCGCCGTTTCGCTCCCTTGACCTCCCGTCCAATCAGGGGCTCGGATTTTCCCGCCCTTTCGATACCCGTATCCCAGCTCGGGTGACGTCGCCGCAGTGATCTCTCCAACGTCCGCTCTCTGTTCTCCCGCTACCAGTCCACTGACCCGTGCTTGTGCGTGTGTGGTTCCACTCGCGGTGGCTCGATGGCCCTTTCCGTGACCATGCAACTTTAATATTAGGTCAGGGCGCCGCAGTGCATGTCAGCTACAGGGGGAAGATCACCCAATTTCCCGGCCGCAGGAAACCATGAAGTTGGATCCCATTAGGGACTTCTGGAAAAAAAAACCTATCGGCCGGGTGACCTCCCCTCCTGGCTGTACGTGGGGCGTGTGTGCGTTCGTGCGGGGGGGGGGGGGAAAGGGGGAGGGGGGGGAAAGGGGGGGAAAGGGGGGGGTGGAGAGGGTGCGCCGCGTCGGCGTCGGCATCCCCCGGTGGCGGCTTCACGGCGGTGGGCACGGCCTCGGCAGAGCGGCTCTGCTGCGGCGGCCTCACGACTGTGCAGTGGGCAAAACGCGGACATCTGAGAAGGCACCGGCCCCGGGAGAGTGGCGGGAAATCCGAGGCATCGGTGACGGCGTCGCGGCGGTGGGTACGGATCCGCTGGAGCGGCTCCACTGCGGCGGCACTACAGATTCCCTCACACACACGCTCCACGCGCTCGGGCAATAACAAACACGACGCTGCTGCCTGCCGAGCCCCGTGCACCAATCACACGCGAGGGAGTGGGGAGTCGGGGGTGGGAGGCCAGGGGCGTCTGCCCTGCGCGTGCTGCTGATTGGAGGGGGTCACTTCGCTCCATTTTAAAGGGCCGTTTAAACAGCCGCGCGAATACGCGCACCCCAGGCGCTTAGCTCGCTACCTCGCTATAGACAATCGCGCAGGCACGCGACCGCTAAACACCACCGAGCGCTAAGCACTACTGTAAACAATCGCACAGGTACGTGAGCGCTAAACACCACCGAAAACAGTCGCGTAGGCACGCGCACGCTGAACACTCCGCCTG